ATATATATATATATATATATAATAAATTGGATTGCCGAGCGATCAGCGTTCGCGTCCCGGTGGGGTCAAGAATTTTCTCTCTTGCACGTCATCCAGACCGGCTCTGGTGCTCATCCAGACTCCTGACCGCTCACCAACTTGTGCCGAGGTCAACAAAGCGTATGTCTATACATCCATTCCCCCATACGCCTTCATTGCGTAGTGTTTTATTAGTTAAGCACAGGGACAACTTCACCTTTTTACTGATTAGACGCTGGTATAGTGACTAGGCTGCGGACTGGGCGGCTGGGGTTCGATTCCCTGTAGAAGCAAGAGTTTCTTTTCCATAACTTCCCCTTGTGGCCCACACAGCCAGCTGTACAGTAGGAGCAGTTTCCCATGGGGGTAGAGCTGCAGAAGCGTGAAGCTGATTACTCATTTACATCTAATGCCTAGGTTAAGAATGTGGAGCTATACCTCCATTCCCCATATGTCTTCATGTCATACTGCTTAATTAATTAAGGCCCAGGGATAACTTTTCTTTTTGTTGTGCATTGATAATCATAAGCTTCGCTGATATTCGCTTATTGTGAAGTGGGCTTCAGGTCACTGAACCCAGTGCCTTCTCCATATTTACAAGCAGTTATATATATATTAGCAATCAGAATTAAATACATTCTTTAAGCTAATTTGCTATCTTTACAAGCAGTGAGTAGTTATTCCGAATAAAGCATGGATACTCTTGATGCATGAAATAGGCATCAATTACAGTTTAGGGGGTGGATGAGGTTGGAAACCCTTCACTTTAAGATTTAGTTTGATGCAAATATACGACACGAACCTTGTGAAGCCCACGTTTTCCTCACATAACGTCCATTTAAACAGACTGTTCTTACGGAACCAGTTTGAAATCTGTTGGTGGGATCAATGTGCGTGGGTTTGTAAGTGGTCGAATCATGGACGACCAAGCAATGAGACGCACCTCCGGTACACAATACAATCTGTTTTGCTTCCTGTCTTATGCACCTCACTTCATACGAAATATCAGAGGGGCAACAAACAACTTCTAAACTGAAGAGTTATGACTACTGGGGTTTAACGTCATGTAATCCGGTGGTTGACTTTCGCCGGACCATGGGACATTACATCCAAGAAAACAGAAGTCTTCATAACCACCTTTGTGACAGAATTCTTTGCCCGATCTAAAATAGCCCAAATTTTGGCCAGGAATGACGTATACAGTTGAGATATCTCTGAAAATAATAGATACACTGTAAAGTAAGCCCTGTGCTTATTATTATTATTATTATTATTATTATTATTATTATTGGAGGGGGTGGGTTTCCGCATGCACTGCGACCAGTTTTGATCCATTGTGCGTCCCCCTTTAATTTCTACTGCCGCCATGCCCTTCCAGTACTGGTGCTCGCTAACAGCCCCGTTCTGCCAGCGAGGTCGGCCACCTCTCTGGCAGTGGTCTTTGATACTTCCCCCATCTACCGGAGGAATTGGAAACTACTTGGGCGGGAAACTTTTGCCTAATTTTGCTCAGAGGTCTCCTTGAGAGGATCTTTTACGTGCCTCCCTCCCGGAGGACTTGTTCCCTGAATTTTTCCGCCCTTAAAAATTCCACGACCTCGGCCGGGTTTGAACCCGCGTACCTTGAGTCATGAGGTGGGAACGTTACCCCTAGACTACGGAGGCCGCTAGGCCCCGTGCTTAAATAATTAAGCACTAAGCCATGAAGACGTATGGGGGACTGAATGTGTAGCTCCACCATTCTTGACCTCGGCAGTAGATGGAGATGAGTGGTAAGCCTCACGCCTCTGCCGCTTTGCAACCGGAGAAACAACAGACGGTACCCATTGGATAGGAGGCTGGGTAGGCCCCAGAGCTGGTCTCAACATTATGGAGAAGTACAAAAATTTTCCCCTGCAGAGAATCGAATCCCGTCCGTCCGGCCCTTAGTCCTTGGCTATATCGACTGAGCTTACGAAATAATAGACGTGCATCTTCAAACAGTTTGATAGAAGTTTAGACTTCAAAATATTTTGTCATTAAATCACAAGAAATAAGTAGCAATATGGATTATTCTCTGATTATTTAACGATCATTTCAGACTTCGTGGTGGAATTATTTCTATATGTTAGAATGGAAAGGAGACCGCCTCTGTCGCCTCTGTGGTGTAGTGGTGAGAGTTCCTGGCTACAGATCCAGAAGTGGTGGGTCTGAAACGGGGTCCACTCAGCCTCGTGAGGACAATTGGGGAGCTACTTGAAAGAAAAGTGCCGGCTCCGGTCTAGAAAAGCAAGATTAACGGCCGTGGGGATCCGTTGCGCTGCAACATCTTCAATCTGCAGAAGTTTGCACTAACTTCGCTGACAAACGGCGGTCGCTCGGTCGGTATAGTTCGCTTGCGGACTACAGGCCACGGAGTTTGTTTTGTTTTTGTAAAATGGAAAAGTGTGTGGAAGAAAGAGCTCATGGCTTAATTAGGATACTGTCCCAACATTTACGTCTGAGGACTTTGTAAATAAATGCACACACTCATAGCAGCTAGTATCAGGACTGATAAAGGTAAAGCTATCCCTGTAAACAGGCTGTGGAGGCCCATAATGTTGTGAGACGTCGAGGCTTCCACATTAACTAGACGATCGGGTCACAGATGGCGGTGAGGTGAGGTAACATTCTCCCCCATTCGTCTTCCGTATTAAAAAAAGAATAATAAGAAGACATTATATAGTCATGGTCTTATTCTAATCCGAGATATGACGTAACCCGTAATGGCTGCAGGTTCCTTGCAATATTTGAATTTGAATCGAGTTCACAGGTAGAACAATGGAGCGGCAGCTACGGTTGCTCCGTGTGTTGGAGGGGACTGAAGTGGAATAACCGGTTCCTAACTCCGGTCCTTCGCTGTCGCTGGTCTTGGGGTCTGTCGTGTCTTCATAGACCCCCCCCCCCCTTCCACCCGCACGGGCATAGTCTTCAGC